AGAGAGAGAGAGAGAGAGCAAGAGGATGGGAGGAGAAAGTTCAACATGAGAGCATCATGCTCCGTGAGAGCAGCATTGCTCCGGGGGGGGGGGCAATTTATGCAAACTACTTTTAGAAAACAAATAATAGTCTAGAAAACACTTATGATCGCACGTTTGCATGCAACAGCCAGCACTACGATGTGCCGAGGTGTTGCAACTACTGCTACACTAGTCATATAATCTGGTACCTTGTCCACAGTTAGTGGCTTCAACGTTGGCTGCCAAAGACAACAGTAGACAGAATGCAACCACCCGCTTTACTGTTACTTTTTACACACATGATATTTACAAGACGAGAGTAGTAACTTTAACACAGCTGTTGGCTGTATGTAACAATGCATGTAATTTTCATTATATATATATTTATATAACATAAGTAGAAGGCTAGTAATTTTAAGTAGTAATTTTCCAAGCATCAGGGAGGTTTTATATTCTCTGCACCATTGCCTAGCATAATAACTGTGAAAAAAAAACGAGGAACAGTTTTTCCTGACTTACACATTTGCTCGTTGGTGATAGTAATTTTAACCAACATTGGGCACAAAAAATATCCAAATAAAAAGCATTATAGTTAGGGTACCTTTTATAGATTTTTATAGATACCTTTTATATTTCTGACGGCATTTGTTCTGACCATAGGAAGGTTGAGAGCCACGTAGTGTTCATGGCTACACACGATCTTCACAAATTCAAACCTGAACTCGTACAGAGCCTGTGAGTGAAAACAAACCGATTATAAATGACTGCACAACAATCATCGAACGTTTACTGAATAATAGGAAGCTGCTATTAAAATCTAAAAGCCTCACTGTAAATGGCTGTATGGTGTATACCAGGACAAGATGTAATATGTGAGTTCCGTGCAGATAGTCATAAGAACAAACAAATTCACTCAACAACAACTGCTTTTTCATAACAGTTTCACCTTTAATAATTTACCACGCTAGTGCATGCTATTGCAAAACTTTGGTATTATGCCATGATTCAAGATTGGATGGGCTCATGATATGCATTAACGTGCTGTTGGACTGTAGATATAATGTGACCTGTAGAGCGTAAAGACTGCCCCAGATGAACTAGCAAACACATAGCATATGCAAACTGAAATGTGATCGCATATCAAAAACTAAAATAACCTGAATACTGTTAAGATAGCCTACTTCAGTGTGTCAGTGAGATTTAGCACATGGATTAGAGCTCACAGTCGTAAAATGTTACATACCTTGGCACCACTTGGATCGAATTTATCCAAATACAGGTTAACGATTTTCATCACAAATCCTCGGTCCATGAATGTGAAACACCCCTAAAATAAAAAATATTTCGCAACTTAAACAAAGGCATATGACTTAAATTGATATAACATTGATTATGAGTGCATTTATGGTGAAGGTAAAATGAAATGCTGTACAGTAGGTTGGAGTAGGGCTGTGTAAAAATCAATTAAAACAAACTGCTCATATAATCTGAAGCCACTGCTCCCAAACCTAATGCAGGTCAAGTCACAAATTTACAGCAAGCACTATACGACTCTTTATAGAATATAGAGAATTAGTAAAGTAGAGATATAGAATATATATATATATATATATATATATATATATATTATATAAAACTTTTTCAAAACAACCCTATAACATACACACCACCTCTTCAGAACTCCCTCTGCCGTGTCTGTCTCGACCAAGCCTGCTACTGACGCTAATAGTAACGATACTCATATTCAGTTCTCCCTAAAGTATGTGCTGTGTTTGCGTGACATGATCACCTTGACAAAGTTCGCCAGGCTTGCATTGGCACTTCGCGTCTCCACCGGGTGTTCCTTAAACTTCTGCATGATGTGCTGCAGAAACGCTTGCACCATCGTCAACACTCGGAACTGGAAGTCTGAGCTGAACCGTTCGTTCCTCGGCAACTGCGAGAAATTGCACGGAGAAGAGAAGACATTTTGAATTTACACGTTCATTAATATCACAGCACGATAGTAAATCCAAACCTATATCATCATATTCATATCCTATTCATATCATATCATATTCATATCATTGATATTCATTCATTCATATCATATTCATATCAACCGATCATATTACAGGCGTTTCTCATACGTAACCCTTTGACTCCTGTAGTCCCTTCACTAACATTTGTTAACAATACGTCCAGGTACTCAAAAAGCCACATATGGCATGCACTCACACACACGTCAAACTGCATACCTCTAATCTACCCGTGACGAGAAGGTACTGAGCCATGCTCTTGACGATAATCTGTAAGAAGAACCACGCATGTTCGAGGAGGCTGTTGATGAGGACGAGGTCAGCATTGGCCGGACGCAGGGCGACGGTCAGGTTTTTACACAGCTCCTCGTGGATCGTCTTCTGGCCACCGCTCACCGGCGTGGTCATGAACACGTGCTGAAACAATACCCAACGCATCGAGGCTCGATACCGTACTAATGATGAGAAAAAACTGAAGAGAAGTGTACTAGTGGACTGTGAGCATGAGAAGAATGAGTGTACTAGTGACCTGTGAGCATGAGAAGAACGAGTGTACTAGTAGACTGTGAGCATGAGAAGAATGAGTGTACTAGTGAACTGTGAGCATGAGAAGAATGAGTGCACTAGTGGACTGTGAGCATGAGAAGAATGAGTGCACTAGTGGACTGTGAGCATGAGAAGAATGAGTGTACTAGTGAACTGTGAGCATGAGAAGAATGA